TTTATAACTCGCTTACGGTTAATGATATGGATATGCGGTTTGGAGATTATTAATTACATATTGAATACTACATAATTGCCAAGTTTCAGAATGTGAACTCTTTTATTTTCGGTTTTGGCAGTGCCAACACTTTCTTATTTTGTTCATAACTCAGTTACGGTTCTATCCGCTGATTTCTGAATAGAAGATCAATTAACGGGCTACACAATGGTATAAGTTTCGGTAATGGATCCTCAAGTCGTTCCGCCAGTCAAAATTCACACTTTCCTTATTTTGTTGATATCTCACTTTCCTTTAATTTTTTTGACATTCTGTTTAAAGATTTCGGAGGATCATTGAAGGCACTAAATATTGGCTTTAACTAAAAAATGCTTGCTCGAATTTTAAATTTTGGCAAAATGCCAAAACCTTTTTATTCACGAACGGTTCATTCCGCTGGTATGCGGTTTAAATATTCTGGAAGATCAATTAAGGCTCTACACTTTGACATAATTTTTGGTAATTTATCCTCACTTTTTAAAAAAAATCCCGCACACGTTTTTAAAACGGTTATAACTGGTTACGGTTAGTGATACGGGTATGCGGTTTAGAGATTATTAACGTACATATTAATAATTGCCAAGTTTCAGGAACTCTTTTATTTTCGGTTTTGGCAAAGAGCCAACACTTTTTTATTTTGCACATAACTCAGTAACGGTTCATTCCGCTGATTTCCGAATAGAAGATCAATTAACAGGCTACACAATGGTATAAGTTTCGGTAATGCCAGCTTAAATAATTCATCTTACCTCACGTTTTAAAACGGTTATAACTCGGTTACGGTTAATGATACGGATATGCGGTTTATAGATTATTAACGAACATATTGAATACTATATAATTGCCAAGTTTCAGATCATGATCATTTATATTTTCGGTTTTGGCAAAGTGCTAACACTTTTTTATTTTTCTCATAAGTCAGTAACAGTTCATTCCGTTGCTTTTCGGATAGAAGATCAATTAACGGGCTACACAATGGTATAGGTTTCGGTAATTGATCCTCAAATCGTTCCGCTAGCTTCAAAATTTCACACTTTCCTTATTTTGCTTGTAACTCATTAACCTTTAATTCCACTGATGTCTGGTTTGAAGATCAATTAGATGATCAAAAAAGTTAAACTATTCATTAGTAAAAATTTAATCTTGACTATGATTACGCCAATTTTTAATAGATTGCTCTGGTATTAGAAATTTAATCTCGATATATTAAGTAAAGGCGTCGTTAGCTTCTTACGGAAGTGGATGCTGTGCTAATTTTTTAAAATGTGATTTTTTTTACTCTCTATAATTTATCTGGTTATTTGGGGTGAAGCAGTATACCCTACCCACTTTGGCGTGCCTTATTTAAATTAACCTATTACTTGTCAAGGTTAGCATGTATAATTGTCATATGGAGCTTAACCATAGAAGCAGCATCTATATGTGCGGGGAAGGGAGTAGGAGCAGCCTGCTTCCAAAATTTTTTAAGGGGGGGGGGGTAACCATATAAGATGGGTAGGCACCTTAAAAGATTAGACTAAATTTATGAGGATAGGAATTATATTTTTAGATAAAATAGGGCAACGTGTATTGCGGTCAGCGTTTATATGAGCGGCCGGGAGATAAGTACTTAAAAAGTAGTAGACATTTAAGGGGCTTGAGGTAGTATAATTTTTAGATGAAATAGGGGAATAAATTATTTAATACTTTTAATATAGACAATACAAAGATATTGCTAGACATCTACCAAATTTATATATTTTGCTTATACTAACATAGACATTATTTTTCAAATAGAACTTATTTTTGAATAATTTTCTACTATCTTCTTAATTTAAAAGAGTTAAACATTCTATCAGCAAATTCGTATTCATGCCAAACAATACACTATAATTATGCATTGCAATTAATGTAAATGTATTGGTTTTTAATTATTCGTGTTCTAAATAATAACCCTTTTGCATTCACTTTTTTATAGTTGGTAATAGAGTATTGATAATTTTAAAATTGAAGGGAGTACCATTATAAATAAAAACATGTAATTTAAAATGTGGAAATATTTTTAAGGGTTTTTTGAGATCGGTTTGCTTCCAGTGAATATTGTGTATTTATGACGCTGATTGCTGTACAAAGGTATTATATTTTATTAAAAAGATCTATGTTGTAATTGAAGTCTTTTTTTGTTTTTAACGTGCAGTAATTTTTTTTGGGTTTATAACAATTGCGTATGTATTTTATTTGAGGATTGTATTTATCATTTAATCATTGGTTTAATCGCGAAACGAATTATGAGTCATGCTTTATTCATTATAAGAATTATTATGTAAATATGGGCCATTCCACGTCAAATCGATCACGATTCGGCCGACCCCTTTTAAAATTGTTAAAAATTTCTGAAATTATTTAGATAGGTAAAAGAGTGAGAAAGCCGTTTATTTTAGCTGGCTAGCACACCTGGTTCACTTTGGAATCTGTAACATTTTTAAAATGCTTATATCTCAAAAACTATTTATAGTAAAAAAAATTATAATATATCATTTTGTAGGTAAATAAATTCTTTAATGGGCTAACAAAGAATAATAAATATTGGCGCCATTATAGGCTTTTAAAATCCGGTTAACCTAAATAGCTTTACCTGTATTTTTATGCAAAATAGTGAGTTTGTTTTCGAATTTTTTTTATTGCTTTTTATTTAGACATCTTTGCTAAATATCAGAGTTGTTAAAAGATACTTTTTAAATGGATCTAGATACAGATACATTGTCTAAAATAATATCTAGATAGAGCTATTTTAATCAAAAATCTATCTAGATACAGATACCACATTTTTATATCTAGATCCTTTAACAACTCTGCTAAATATATATACAATATCAAAACTTGGCGAGGCTATCAACTCCAAAAATTGATAAAAAAATAGATGGCGCTTTATAAAATTACGGATTATGGTTAAAATTTTGCTGCTAACTTATCAATAACCAGATATTTTCACTCTTTATACTAAAAAATTTGATTTTCTATTAAATATACTAATTAACTGAGGAGCAGAGTGGGCATATGCCCATTAGGCACTTAATAATGTAACAAGTTTCCAATAATAAATATCTTTCATATAATTTTTAAGGTATCTACAATTTCATCATTTGATGAAGATAATGGTATAATTTTAGTCGTTAAAACTTTTTTTTACTCTAGATATTTTTTTCTTAGAATATTTCTTTTCACATAAGCGTTTTCTTTTAATGAGAGATTCCCCATTTGATTGTAGGGATATATTAATGTTATCAATAACCTCTTGATTAATTATATGAAGGGGTGAATCAATATCTACATTGTCATTTGAAGTATAAGGAATGTTTGCTAATTTTCGCCATGAAGAGCATATTAACATATCTAAATTGAATGGTAAATTTTTTTGGGTCATCCAGGGTAGAATCTTTCTTAGATTCTCGTGATAATAAGCATGTCTCTGTAGATTAAATGGGTTGCAACATTTTAATATTTGGTACGTCCATCTGTGATATAGAATAAAATTTTAATTGATCCACACCTAAAATACATATTTTTGCACTCTCCAAATCCAGATTGTTATTGGTAGACAGACGATAAAATTAATCCGAACGGACAAGGTTAAAATTATTTCGCAGAAAGAGAGATCGTTTTAAACAATTTATTTTGTATAATATAATTGAATATATGCCTAATAAAATATTCGTTTTTACTGCAGCTGTTATATATTATCGAGCTAATAAGTCATTCGCTCGCTATAGTAGCAAAGTAGAGATCTAAAAAATGTAAAGCATTTTAAGGATAGTGGGAGGGGGAAGCAGAACTGGAATTTTATCACAATTCTTATAAACGTATCAATATTTTCATTTTCCTTAAGAATAATATTTTTCAACCATTAGCGCCATCTACTTTTTTCTTCAATTTTTGGAAACAGGTCGCGAATAGTTTTTATTGTCGAATTTTTTTTATAATAATTTTTTTATATTTAAATAAATTTGGGCCGGGACGTGCGAACCAATAAACATTATTTTTATTTTTTATTTAGGGTGGGCTTTTCAGGACAAATAAAAAAATTTTGTTAAGCTTGGGAGGAATGCATGGGAGTCAGGATTGGGCACTGTTTGTAGAAGTATAATGAAGAGTATCTAAAACATGTACTAATGTTGCAGATGAAAGCTGTAAAGTGGACAAGTCATGCGTGGTTGTGAGAGCTATGAATGAAATAGATATCATTGGGATTGATACCGGTTTTCTCGAGAGGCATTTAAGTCGTCTGGTACTATGGGATGATTGAATATCTGCTTTTGTTATTTTCAGATTTGTTGCACAATAGGCAATCATGTCCGATGGGCTTGCGTGATAGGTCAGGGGGATATTAAATTGTTTATTTTTTGAATCGATTCTCATAATGAGAAATCATGTCGGGTATATAATTTAATTAATTTTAAATGTGCATTATAAAACTTTTAGTGATAAGAATATTCAGAAAGCGATATTTTGTGTAATTTTATGTATTTTTAGCTCACTTTAAAATTTTAACAAAAGAGTCATAAATTAGGCAATATGCATATCTTACATATTTGCAATAAAATATTGGGAAAATTGTATCTAGATACATAGAAAGGTGTTTTTTAATTTATATTTTAATTTAATAAATCATTTATAAATATAAAATGATAATAGTGATTTATTATGAGCTTTTTTTAATAAATCAACTATATTATTTTTTGGTATGATAGTATCGGTCATCTAAAAAGTGAGATCGTTGCATCTATGGTTATATTATATATAGATATATTAAATTGTAATTTTTGGTATATTTTTCTAATAGAATTCTTATTTATTCGTTAATTTTATGTTGTCTCAGAAAATTCTGCATAATTTTTCAATCATATAAAAGTGTAACAATCGACTATTTTAGATTATTTATTTCTATTGTGCGTTGTGGAGATATGTTAAAAAAACATAAAATAATAACAATTGTTTTATTAATGTATTGTTTTTTAACGCAAAAAACATAAAATAATAACAATTGTTTTATTAACGTATTGTTTTTTAACGCAAAAAAACAGGAAAAACTTAACAAATGATTTTAATAAATACTCGAAAATTATAAAAAAATAACAGAAAAATGCCATCGACAACGATGGATAGAACAATAGATATTGATAATTTTTGCCTGAATTTTATTATATTAATTTAATAATATGTTTAACAATTACAAGTAAATTTATAATTTTGATTTTCTTAGTAAAAATTTTATTTTAAAATAAACAATTCAACAAAATGAAAATTGCAGAAACGAGTTATAAAATAATTCTATGAAAAATTTGAAATAAAATATTGGTTATTATATTTTTCGTAAATATTGTAGTATTAATAAAAACAAATGCCACCCCCCCCCCCCCCCCAAAAAAAGGTCTCTTTATCCCAATTCGTCATAACATTTTTATTCACCAAAAATAAAATTCCATTTGATCGGATTCAATAAAAATTTAATCATCGAGCATGGATGAAACATTAGGAGGTATAGGCCATACAAGCCCAGCTAAAAAGGCGGTTTTAACGCTTGACACGATGTTTGCCTTAATGTTAGCACCGGTTGATAATTTATAGTCCTCGTCCATCATCATCTATAGTTTTTGTTTGAATTATTTTTTTAATGAAAAATACAAATTGGAGGAAGGCGATCAGTTAATTTTTTTTAAAAGTTTAAACTTTAATTATAAATTATTTACATAGGAAACCAATAATCGCAGGCTACCAACTTATTTGTATTAATATCGATTTAAATGAATGAAATGTAAGTCTAGTTAATATAATATGCTTTGCCATTGAGTGGCAACTAAACTAGGAAAATAAATGCAACTTTTCGTTTTGTATTTAAAAATTTTAATGTGATTTTTTGGTTTTGACTTATTCAAAACATAACTTTTTTTGTTTTAATTTTTTTAAATATTAGATATATTATTATATTAGCTATAAATATTTTAGGAATTAAATCAGAAAAATCTAGTTTTATATATTTATCCAAGACTTACAGGCCTTTATGAAAGCACGGCTAGAGTAACTGGCCCGTAAAATGACATGATTTTAAAAACCGAACTAAGTTTCAAAATTAATAGAAAATAACAAATCTGGGCTGAGCCGAATTTTCTTATTATTGTTAATCATATCCCCATATAATCTAGCTTTAAACTTGCTGAAAATGTAATGATGAAATATCTTTTCTTCTCATATTCTAAAAAATCTATATTATTTTTTCGCATGGAATGTTTGTATGTGGCTATTTATCTTCCTTATCTTTTGAATACGTTGGCCACATGTTACATGTATCACAACGATACTTCTTCCATTACGTTATTCATCTTTGGCCATGAAATATATCATCAGGTTTTGTTCTTTTGCCTTGATGACCAGAATTAAATAAATAAATACAAAGAAATTCTTAAAGATGAATTAGGAACTTTAAAAGATTTTGAAGTAGATATAAGATTAAAGAACTATCAGCCAAAATTTTGTGGCATTAGTAGATTATATTTTCAATGTTAGAGGAAATAGATAAGGAACTAGACAAATGGATGATAGAAGTAATAATAAAGCCAATAGTAAATAGCATATGGGCGACCTCGTTGGTCCTCATAAGAAAGCCAAATGGCAGCCTGAGATTATGTATAAACAAAGGGTATCTATAAACTCTTGAAAAATGAGTTATAACCTATACAAAGGATAGAGCAATTACTGGCTAGTTTAAAGGATATAACAATTTTTTCGAAGATAAATAGTTTTGAATGCTTACCTGCAGATTAAAGTAAATGAGAAAGCAAGTAAAATGTCAACAATTACTACTCATAAAGGTTTTCTTTCGTTCTGCAGATTACCTTTTGGGTTAATCCGCTCCAATTTTTTAAAGACAATGGCTGCTTATTTCAAGGATTAAGTGGAACCTTATATTATTTAGATGATGTTCTTGATAAGTATTGATGTTGTTTTGTTATTTTTCTAAAATGTTTATGTACATTATTATATATTATCATATGAATTTGAATAACAAAAAAATATATTATTATTATGAGATAAAATAAAATGGCGAAAATTCTATTACTACAAAAAATACAATACAAAAGATTTATATATTTCCATAATTACTAAACAAAGACAATACAAAAATGGCGCAGTCGATAAAAAGTTTAAAGGAATCAATGTGTTATAAAGATTGGTAAGACTTATTTAAAGAATTTAAAAACACACAACTAAGGTTAACATCCTCACAAGAAAAATCCCTGTTATTAACAACTATAGGATGTGATCAGATAGTCCAGGAAATAAAGTTAGAAATACAAAACATTAATTGTAGAAAGATATATTTTTTATCAATATAATCATAAAAATGAGGAAAAATTAATAGACTATATACAAAATCTTCGAAAATTAGCAAAATTTAGGGAATGGAACATTTAAATATTACATTAAGAGATAAATTAATTCTAAAATTTTACAAAGATTATTATCTGAAGATGATATAAACATAAATAAAGCTATTCAAATAGCTACTGCTGTAGAAACAGCTTTAAAAAATACAAAACTAATACAAAATGATGAAACTAGAATCTATCAGTTAGAAGAGGAACATAATGATAAAAAGTTAATAATTATAAACAATCCAAGTCATATAATAATTATAATACGAGCTACAAAAAACCAAATCCCTGCCATTCCTGCAGCGGAAACCATAGAAGGGGAAATTGTTTTTTCAAGAATGCCACTTGTTATAAATGTAACAAAATTGGGCATATTGCTCGAGTCTGTAGAAAAGAAATAGTCAATTTTATTAATAATAAAACAAACGAATATAATCCAGAATTTTGGGTGGATGTTAAAATAAACAACAGCGATATCAGAATGGAATTAGATACTGAAGCTGGGGTAAGCATAATTAACGAAATAGATTGGGAAAATAAACTTAATTGTCTTGGATTAACAAATTGCATGCTAAAACTTAAAAGCTATACGGGAACCAATATACCACTATTAGGTCAGACTGTAGTAAAAGTACAATATAAAGGACGAACATTAGAACTACCTCTCATAATTACAAAAGGATATACCAAAAATCTCATTGGAAGAAACTGGATAACTAAATTTCCCAAAATGACTGAAATACCTGAAAGGACCATACAAATAAATAACATTAATATACAAAATGAATTTCCTCAATTATTTACCAAAGAATTGGGCTGCTTGAAAGATTTTAAGGCACAAATATATATGAAAAATAAGAAACCAATTTTCTGTATATCACGTCCCATACCATATGCATTAAAAGATAAAGTTGAAGAAGATTTAGATTGATGCTAAAAATAGGAGTAATAAAAAAAATTAATCATTCACTTTATGCATCACCCAGAGTAATTATTCAAAAGAAAGATAAAACATTACGAATTTGCAGGGATTTAAAAGAACTATAAATCAAAATATTAATATTGATTCATACCCAATACTAAGAATCCAAGATTTATTAGCCAGTTGGGAAAAGGAGAGGAATTTTCAATATTGGATCTCTCAGATGCCTATTTTCAAATTAAAGTATGGGAAGAGTTTCAAAAATATCTTGTAATCAATACGCATAGAGAATTATTTAAATATACAAGACTATCATTTGGTATATAGTCTTCTCCAGCTATATTTCAACGAGCCATCGAGAATTTATTAAAGGTTTTGAAGGAGTAGCTTGTTATTTAGATATTATAATAACCGGGAAAAATAGAGAAGCACGAAACAAATTTAAAAAAGGTACTAAAATGTCTAAATGAAAATGGAATCAAGCTAAAAATAGAAGTAAATTTTTCAAAAATGTAGAGTACTTAGCACACAATATTTCAAAAAAACGGGATTACAACTACCGAAAAAAATACTGAGGCAGTAAAAAAAGCACCAGAACCAACAAACTTGAAACAATTACAGTCATTTCTAGGGTCAGCAACATACTATTCAAAATTTATTTCAAATTTTGCAACCAAAGCCAAACCATTATACAAATTATTAGAAAAACCAGTTGCTTGGAGATGGATGCAAAGACGTGTATAAAAAAAATAAAGCAAGAAATAAATAGTACTCCAATATTACAACATTATGATCCAAAATCACACATTATATTAGCAATAGACGCGTCTGCCATAGGAATTGGAGCAGTAATATCACATATAGAGGGGGGTAATGAGAGACCAATTGCATTCGCCTCAAACACTAATTGCAGCTGAGAAAAATTATAGCCAAATAGAAAGAGAAACTCTCGCCATCATATTTGGGGTTACAAAATTCAAAGAATTTATATATGGGAAAAGTTCACATTACAAACAGACCACAAGCCATTAATGAGTTTATTTCATCTAAGCATCAATTGCCAGAATATAAATGGGCTTCATTATTAGCAGGTTACCAATATGAAATAGAAGTCAAAAGTAGTCGACAAATAACAAATGCTGACATGCTATCTAGATCACCTATAAAGGGAACACCAATATCAAAAGAAGAAACGTTAGATCAAATACAGGTGGGAGGAACACCTTTAAATGCAAGCGAAATTGAAAGAAACAATGCGAGATGATATACTCTCTAAAGTATACAGATATACAATAGACGGATGGCCAATAAACTATGATGCATGTTTAAAGGAGTATAGTAAAAGGAGGAAGGAAATTACAACAGAGAGAGGTTGTTTATTGTGGATAACTAAAATAATAATACTAAAACAATACCAAAACAACGTGTTAGGCATAATACATCAAGGACATATTGGAATGGTAAAAATGAAGATGAGAGAAAGACAATACGTGTGGTGGCCTAATATAAACCAATATATAGAAACATGGGTCAAAAAATGTAGAGAATGCAGGAACAACACGATATGCCTAGGCATCAATTCAAAATTGGCCAAAACCACCAAAAGCATGACACCGAGTACATATTAATTATGTTGGACCATTTAAAAATCATTATTGGTTGGTAGTGATAGATGCTAGCAGTCGCTGACCAGAAATAGTTCCCATGACTAGTACCACCTTCGAAAGCATGATAAAAATATTAAGAAATATCTTTGCCAAATAGGATTTCCTAAGATAATCGTTTTTGATAATAGGCCACAATTCAGCAGTAAAGAATTCAAACGGAACACAATTAGTGCACGGAAGTTCATACCATTCTCAGACTTATGCCATGGCCGAACGTTTAGTTCGAACCTTTAAACAGAATGAATTAAAGAAACGAGGGGGATTTAGAAACCAGTTTAGCTATTTTTTTCTATAATTACTGAAATACACCAGGGGCAAAAAATAAACAGTCCCGCCGAAATACTACTAAAAATTAAAACCTAGAGGATTGTTAAACCAAATATTCGAACGGGGGAACAAAAAGGAGAAGTTAGAATACTACACTCAAAAATTTGAGATAAATGAAAAAGTGTGGTCGCACATTTACAATAATAAAGAAAAAAATGGGAAAAAGCCATTATTAAAAGCATACTCGGATCACTACGATATAAAGTAGGTATAGAGGGTAAAACGATTATACGTCATACTGATCAATTAAGGAAAAGAACCGAAAATATACTAACTGATGAATACGAATTAGAAGA